GCCGTTGTCCTCCCTGTTCGCAAACCGGGGTCTCTGGGTACTTCCCCTAATGACTTTCGCCCTATTGCTCTCACAAGTTGTGTCTGCAAACTCTTTGAACGTATGGTTAACGTTCGTCTGATGTGGTTCCTGGAACACCATCACCTCTCCCCTTCTCAATTTGGTTTCCGCAAGTGCCGCAGCATGACAGATGTCCTGGTGAACTTGGAGGTCTATATTCATACTGCTTTTGCTGCGAAGACCTCCGTTGTTGCCGTCCTTTTTGACCTGGAAAAGGCTTACGACACCACTTGGCATTATCATATCCTATCTCAACTTCATTCTTTTGGCCTTCGTGGTCATCTCCCTCTCTTTCTCCGCAGCTTCCTCTCTCGTCGTTCCTTTCGGGTGCGCCTTGGTACCGCTTTCTCTCCCTCTTTTCAGCAATACGAAGGTGTGCCCCAGGGTAGTGTTCTGAGCACTACTCTTTTTCTGGTTGCCCTCAATGGTCTTCTTTCCTCTCTTCCTTCTGGTGTCTTCTCTGCTCTCTATGTCGATGATCTTACCCTTTGTTGTCAGGGTGATGATTCGCCTCTCCTTCAACGCCGGCTTCAACTTGCAATTGATGCCGTGTCGTCTTGGGCCACAGGTCATGGCTTCAAGTTCTCTACTTCTAAGACTTGTGCCATGACTTTTACGCGGAAACGGGTTGTTCTTCGTCCCTCTTTGTCACTTTATGGTCATCCCCTTGAATACAAAGATTCCGCGAAGCTTTTGGGGTTATTCCTTGACACTCGTTTGTCTTGGTCTCCCCATATCTCTTACCTCCGTGTTGAGTGCTCTAAGGCCCTTACCCTCCTTCGGGTCTTGTCCCATACTTTTTGGGGGGCTGATAGGCGCACTCTCCTTGCTTTACATTCCTCTCTCGTCCTGTCTAAGCTCGATTATGGTTGCCCTGCTTACTCGTCTGCTTCTCCTTCTACTCTTCGCCGTCTTGATGCTTTGCACCATACTGGGTTGCGCCTCAGTTCTGGTGCCTTTCGTTCGACTCCCATCCTTAACTTGTTTGTTGACACTGGCTTCCTGTCTCTCCAGGACCGCCGTGATCGCTACTGTCTTCGCTATCTTGCGCGGTCCTTGCAACATCCTTCCTCTCGCCTCTGTCGTGCTTTAACTTTTACCCCTCCTGCGGTTCCTGTTCCTCTTCACCACCTCCCTCTTTCTGTCCGGTTATCTCGCCTGCAGGATTCTCTTTCCGTTCGTATTTCTGATGTTTCTCCTCGTGTTGTTCCTTCTTTGCCCCCGTGGAGGGTCCCTCTTCCGCGGTTTTGTACATCCTTGACCTGTATCACTAAAGCTTTTACCTCTCCTACGGTTCTAAAACGCCTTTTCCTCGAGCACTTTTCTTCTCACTCCCGCTCCGTTTCTGTCTTCACCGATGGGTCTAAGTCAGCGGACGGTGTTGGCTACTCTGTTGTTTTTCCTGATCGCACTTATATGTGTCGCTTGCCTCCGGAGACTAGCATCTTTACAGCGGAACTTTATGCTATTCTCTATGCTCTTCGTCTCCTGCTTTCTCGTTGTCAGTCTTCCTTTGTAGTTGTTGTTGACTCTCGTAGTGCCCTCATGGCTCTCGGGTCCTTTAATCCGGTTCATCCAGTAGTTGTCGAGATCCAGCATTGGCTGTTTCTCGTTCACAGTAAATTTAAGTCGGTTGAGTTTTGTTGGGTTCCCAGCCATATTGGTGTGTCTTTAAATGAACGTGCGGATGCTGCCGCCAAGGAAGCTGTCCGCTCTTGTCCCATCTCTCGTAAAGGCATTCCGTATTCCGACTTTTACCCGGTTATCCATTCCTCAGTCCTTACCCGTTGGCAGGCTTCTTGGTTGTCTGTTACTGGTAACAAGCTACGTTCTCTTAAATGTTGTGTTTCCTCGTGGCAGTCCTCCTTCCACCGTAACCGGCGGTGGGAAACAGCTCTGGCGAGGTTGCGTATTGGCCATACTCGCTTAACCCATGGTCACTTGATGGAGCGCCGCCCTGCTCCTTATTGTCCTAGTTGCATTGTCCCTCTTACGGTCGTGCATGTCCTTCTTGAATGTCCTGACTTCCAGGACGAGCGTATGTCTTGCTTTCCGACCGCCCCTCGCGGTCACCTGTCCCTCGATAGAATTCTTGGTGACTCGGATACTTTTGATATCGTTCGCCTTATGCGTTTTTGTTCTCGTATTGGCATCCTTGGTGATATTTAGCGCCCTCTGATTATTTTGCGTATTTGATGGTGCTACATAGCCTTCCCGGTTTGGTGCCTTCTTTTGATAATTACTTACTTACTTAAGCTTACCAAGGAAGGTGGCATTGGAGGTGTTGCAAGAATTATGTTGTTTTCTTATTGCTGTAGAGAGCTAGTTATGAATATTAAATAACACACTATAATAGTTGAACAGTACAGTATTTTGTTTGCTATTTATTCATTTAAATATTTACAAGAAAATAAAATGGGATTTAACAGAACTTAAGGCACATATGTTAAAAGCCATCGTACAGCATGTCAACACCCATGTGTCGACACAGTGGAGGGGAGATGGGAAGGCTGGCGTGAGGAGGGGGGGGAAGATGGGGTGACCTGGCTGGACGTGCGATCTGTCTCTATCCAGTCTCGCCCACCCAGCCACCTGTTCACCCACCTGTCTGCATGCCCACCTGCCAACCCACCCACCTGCCTTCATGCCCACCTGCCAACCCACCTACCTGCCTGCATGCCCACCTGCCAACCCACCCATCTATTCACCCACCTGCCTGCTCGCCCACCCACCTCTTCACCTACCTGCCTGCATGCCCACCTGCCAACCCACCCACCTGCCAACCCACCCACCTGTCTGCTCGCCCATCCACCTGCCTGCCAACTCACCAACCTGCCAACCCACTCACCTGTTCACCCAAATGCCTGCATGACCACCTGCCAACCTCCCACCTGTTCACCCACTTGCCTGCTCGCCCACCCGCCTGCCTACATGCCCACCTGCCAACCCACCCACCTGTTCACCCACCTTCCTGCTTGCCCACCCACCTGCCTGATAGCCCACCCAACCACCTGTTCACCCATCTGCCTGCTTGCCCACCCACCCACCTGAATGCTCACCCAGCCACCTGTTCACCCATTTACCTGCTTGCCCACCCACCCACCTGTTCACCCACCTTCCTGCTTGCCCACCCACCTGCCTGATAGCCCACCCAACCACCTGTTCACCCATTTGCCTGCACACCCGCGTGCCTTCTCACCCACCCACCCACTTGTTCCCCCACTTCCCTGCCCACCCACCTGTTTACCCACCTGCCTGCACGCCCACTTACCCACCTGGCTGCTCGCCCACCCACCTACCTGATAGCCCACCCACTTGCCTGCTCGAACCTGTTCACCCACCAAGCCTATCTGCCTGTCATCCACCCATCCAAAACCCACCTGCCTGAACCTACTTATCCATGCCTGCCCACCCACCCACCTGCCTGCCCACCTATCAGCTAGGTTGCTAACCACCCACCCAGCCCCACACACTAATTAGTGTGTGTCAATTCAAATCATGAGTGGTATAAAAATTGTTGGAAATAGTCCCTTTTGGACTCAGGTGAAAAAGTACTCTTATCTGGAAAACGTGATTATCCGGCTGGGGGTCCTTCCCATATAGTCCGGATAATCGAGTGGAGACAGTAAGCTGGTATTGTGTCCAAACAGCATTGTGGCCACCATACACTGCATGAGAAATCACACAGCAGCCAGCAGACGACGCTATGGGTATGTCGCCACCTCCCCTCACCAAAAACGCTCCTCCCAACCTACTCCTGTTGCTGTTGTTTACACTATATACACACATTGTATTTATCCATGTACATATGTGTTCATCATAGCGAACCACTAGGCTAGTATGGTGTGCAAAACAAAGAGTGGCTGCCACACACAGTGACGCTATCTCGATCTTCTCCCTCCCGCCCCCACCAAAATTTCTCCTCCCACAATACTACATACATATGTACATGGGTATATACACACATTGTATATACCCATGTACCTATTTGTTCACCATAGCGAACTATTAGGCTAGTATGGTGTGCAAAACAAGAGTGGCTGCCACACACATTGAGGCTACCTCAATTCCCTCCCTCATCAAACTTCCTTCTCCCACAATACTATGCACAGCACTAATTATCACCACAATCCTGCTATTACCACAGTCCTGGTGGCTAAATCCTGTAAATGAATAATTGACCATAAGTTTATTTTGTAAAGTAACATATGAAGTCGTTTGAAGATTCCTAGATGGACGAAATAATGCTGTGGTGCTGTGGCTAGCGCTGTGAACATCATGAACAGCATTAATTCACTGATATTTGAACGTTCTACACAGTCATTATCATACTCAGGCTCTTCTGTAATACTATCATAGCTAAATAATACCAGTTATATATATATTTTGACATTATTATACGATGCTGTAGTCACAAGCTAAACAGCAGTGCTGTGAGCTCATTCTGCATGCGCCAGGCTTGGTTGCTCACTCAGTAAGGAGGCTCTCCCTCCCGGGAATGTTGCTCACGATTTTTTTTTTAAATGGCGTCTGTTTACAAGAGCCCTGAGGAAGCTTATGTGAATCCCATGTAGAGTTTTGAATCATATGCTAAAAATAAAAATACCCCGCTGCACGTTGCACACACCCCATTGAGGGCCTGCAGGCGTGTTGTGCAGTTCAGTGGTTAAAAGGATTTATGCAACATCATATTGTAAGGTTTGGTATAATATTTGTATATTGTTTATATTTATACAGTACTATTGTACATGGATACAACTCTCCCACTCATATATGTTCTTCTATTGAGATTGCACTACATGTTCAAATGAAGTGAAAATTTAAACACAGCAGAAAGTAAAAAAGAAAAAAGATGAAAATAATGCACATTATACTGGATACATAAATTACTTAATTGTGTATAATACTCAGGAAAATAAATGGGTTATTTTTGTTTGCAGTTGGCTTTCCCGTGTGCTGGAGCCAGTGGTGATAATAAGGATGGAGACAAGTGAGGGAGCCTCGCATACCTTCCATGTGCCACTTTCCACATTCCACCAACTAAGATACACTGTTGCCAGTCTTTTACACCAAATGGAATCACTTGAAGTATCTCCTGTATGTAAAAAATTATAGATCACATTTGCATTGTCGACTTTTAATGGCATGGTAATATGTGATGGTTTAATATAGAACACACATGATTGTACTTTTATCCAAGTTTAGAATGGCTTCATTACTTCTGTTAAAAAATAATAAGAGAGCCATAGCATTTTTGAAATCTATGTTTATATTGAAGATATACTACACAGTAATATATAGGACATAGAACTTGCATTGTTGATGATTCATAAGGGTATTTTAATAAATAAGTAAACAAACCCATTACTGGTGCAGGCACTGTAATCTGTGCTCAGTACTGTACTGTAATTATTTTGATTTATAAAGTTTTGAGTTTGGATATGATTGCAAGTATTAATTAGACTAGAGATTGCATCCTAGAGCCGGTCGGCCGAGCGGACAGCACGCTGGACTTGTGATCCTGTGGTCCTGGGTTCGATCCCAGGCGCCGGCGACAAACAATGGGCAGAGTTTCTTTCACCCTATGCCCCTGTTACCTAGCAGTAAAATAGGTACCTGGGTGTTAGTCAGCTATCACGGGCTGCTTCCTGCGGGTGGAGGCCTGGTCGAGGACCAGGCCGCGGGGACACTAAAAAAAAAGCCCCGAAATCATCTCAAGATAATCTCAAGATAAGAATCCTTTCCAGTAATTCTGCTTGCACTGATTTTTGTAGCGTGTTTGTCCAACACAGAAGATGAACTAGAAAGTGAAAGACTTAAAGAAGAGTTTGGATGAAGTGTCTTTTATTATTAAAGCCAAAACAATTTAATAAACTGTCCTACACCATACGAGTTTGACTTGCTATTGCAATATTAACCCCTGCATTGCATACCTGTTTCATATCACAATGTGATACAGGTATATCAAATACATATTTAAAAATTCTAACTTTTTATCTTTCTAATACTTATTGTTAAAATGCATTCCCTGATCATAGGAAAAAAATTATGATGCTTACTTTGACCGAGATGCCCAGAGGAAGTCACCTGGGCCAGGCACACAGCAAGAGTTGCCACAAATGTATCTACTGTATACCGATTTGTTTCTGTGACATATGATTTGTATTTCTCAGGTTTTTGCAGTTATAAAGTAATGCATTTGAGAAATTTCTACAATAAAACATTTGAAACATCAATACATAAAGATAATTGTATTACTAATATGCACATATTATGTTCTTTGAGCAGTAAAACCTACGCGTTTTGCTATTATCACACTGTATACATGTTATATATAACTACAAGTTCTTGCATCATTACAAATCACTAAGCAGTTTTCGTGGGTATGATAATCTCATAACGCTTGATCCAAGCTCAACTTAGCCCCTCTACAAAAACTCGTCAGGTGCCACATCACACGATGCAGCACAGTGCTGCCTGACACACTACACACACTGTTAACATTAGCCAAAACTTCTATTAGAATTCTAGTCACTAAATCCTGAATGTAAATAATTTTTCACATGTTCATTTTCGAAAGAAACATGTGGTCCCGTTACATGATACACACAACGAACGACAGCTGTGGCTGTCTGCCTTGCACTGTGAAAATCATCACCAGCTTCAGGTTCACTGATAACAGAACCTTGTACATAGTGTTTAACCCTTAACATGCTCGGGGTTTAACCCTTAAACTGCGCATGGCGTATATATACGCCCTGAGTAACATGTCCCATGGTGCGCATGGCGTATATATACGCCATAGGGTGCCAGGCCTGATTCAAATGGCCCGCGGCTACACGGGGTTCACAGTAACTTCCTCAGGGCTCTTGTAAACAGATGCCATTTAAAAAAAAAATCGTGGGCAATATTCTCAGGTGTGAGAGCCACAGTACTGTTGGAGCAACCAAGGCCGGCGCACGCAGCATGAGCGAACAGCATTGATGTTCAGCTTGTGACCACAGCATCGCCGAAAAATGTCAAAATAAATATATAATTGTTATTATTTAGCTATGACAATATTACAGATGACCAATGACTGTGATATAAATAACCAGGGTTGTGGTAATAGCAGGATTGTTGTAATAATTAGCGCTGTGGGAGGAGTGATGCTGAGAGACGGAGGGAGACAGCATCGTGTGGCCACCTGTTATTGTTTACATTCACCATACCAGGTCAGTGGTTCTCTATGGTGAACACAAATGTAGATACTTATATATAATGTGTGTATTAGTGTAATAACAGTAAAAGGATTATGCTGGGAGGAGACATATGGGTGACGGAGGTGACGTCGTCTGCACGATTTGTCTAGCTGTTTAGAGGGTGGCCACTATGCTCTTTGGGCGCACTACAAGCTTAGGTGTACAGTTACGGTGCATAAAACATGTAGATATTTATATATAATATGTGTATACAGAGTAATAACACTGCAAAAGGTATTGTTGGGGGAGAAAGTTTAGTGCGTGTGACCTTGAAAGAGTGAGGGAGCCGCCAGCCGCCATCTGTGTATGGCGACAACTCTTAGTGCCTGAACTAACTATATCAGCTTAGCTGTACAGTTGTGGTGAATAAAATATACACATACTTATATATAACGCCTGTATATAGTGTAATAACACCACAACTGGTATTGTTGGGGGAGAAAGTTTAGTGCGTGTGTTGAGGGAGTGGCAGCGAGTGGCTGGCTGGTGTGTGGCGGTAATTCCTCGTTGCTTTTCGACTCTCAATACCAACTTAGTGGTTCGTTATGGTGACCAAAACATGCCAATACTTATATATAACCTATGTATAGAGTGTAATAGCAGCAAAACTATTTGTTTATAGTTTTATAAACATAATAATTGAATCACTAATATGCACATCATACTTTTGAGTATAGCGATTATTAACCACTTTTATTATATAAATATATTACAATACACACTATTGAATAATATTACTGCAAAAAAACTAAGAAAAAATCAATCAGAGACATTGAAACAATTAGGTAATAATATCTTTGTGGCAACTCCCATCTGTCAACGCGGGTGACGCTGACCAGGTCTGACGACCGCTCTGTCAACGCCCACTTTTTGCCAGACTTCCTCGGTCAATTGCGCCCAAAATATGTCACCTACGATTTTTTTTTTATTTTTTCCGTGCTCAGGGGACACAAATTAACATGTTTAGAAGACGAAAAAAAAATTTTGAATTTTTTTTTTCTTGCGCACAGGGGTGTAAATGTCCCAAGGACCCCTGAGCAGTGTAAGGGTTAATATCCTGCCATCCCCACAGGCGCATGTCATTTTGAAAAAAAAAAAATTATTTTTTCTTTCTAACCTGTTAATTTGTGTTCACTGATCACGGGAAAAATAATAAAAAAATCGTAAGTGGCATATATTGCCCGCTATAGGGCGGGGAAGTCTGGCAAATTATAGGCGCTGACTCAGTGTGCGTCCCAGGCGGTCTGTTGCTCGCAAGCTGTCAGGCCAGAGTTGCCACAAAGAGATAATTACCGAATTATTTCAATGTCTCTGATTGATTTTTCATACTTTTTTTGCTGTAATATTATTCAATAGTGTGTAGTTTGATATATTTATATAATAAAATGAGTGAATCGTTGGTGTACTCAAAAATATGGTGTGCATATTGTTGATTCAATTATGTTCATCAATCAGTGAACAAATACTTTGTCGGTTATTACACTATAAGCACAGGTTATATATAAGTATTTGCATGTTTTGTTCACTATAACGAACCACTAAGTAGCTATTATGAGTCAAAAAGTAATGAGGAGTGACCGCCGTGTACCAGCCAGCCACTCCCGCCCTCCCTCCAGTCATCTGACTCACCCTCATTCTCCTCCCACAATAATGTTTTTGCTATAATTCACTATATACAGACGTTATATATAAGTATCTACATGTTTTGTTCACCATAACTGTACATCTAAGCTTGTATGGTGAGTAAAGGCACAGAGATGTGGCTACTCACACAGTCAGCTGATCGGCGGCCGCCCTCAAGATCAGACGCACTAATATTTCTCCTCCAACAATACTGTGTGGTGTTATTACGCTATATATCTTATATACAGACGTTATATATAAGTATCTACATGTTTTATTCACCATAACTGTACATCTTAGCTTGTATGGTGAGTAAAGGCACAGAGATGTGGCTACTCACACAGTCAGCTGATCGGCGGCCGCCCTCAAGGCCAGACGCACTAATATTTCTCCTCCAACAATACTGTGTGGTGTTATTACGCTATATATTGTTGGGGTTTACCTCTTATCTTACTCTGGGTGAGCAACCGTTATCAGTACTTATCCTGGCAAGGTCGCCAATGTTGGGGATTACCTTTACTCTTACTCTTACTCTTACTCTGGGTGAGCAACAGATATGTTCAAGGTCACTCACCGTAGCCCTGCGGGTCTTCACTCTAATCCTCTCGGCGCCACTGTACGCCAGGAGAGTATCCCAGTCAATCCCAACCGGCCTCTGATTGAGAAGGAGTGGGAACACAACTCGTTCACTTAACTATTATGTGCCCGCCCCAACAATAGGGCTTTACTATTAACCACAAGATCGCCAACTGGTGTTTTCGGTGTCCAGTAACACGTCAGTGGACTGGTTGAATTTGTGGTAGCCTTGGCAAGGTCACACTCAATAGATCAGGATTTCAGGCAGGTACTTACTTTTATCACTCTTTACTTTCAAGTATAATATAGCCACAAGATAAATGGAGGGGATGATATAAACACAAATATATTTTGTATTTTACTTAAAAGTCATTCAAAGATGTCACAAGGTCATATCAATAAATAAATCAGCTGATCCAGGCGGGAGTCGGTCGTTCCCACGTATATTATGCACTCACTACGGTGGCAACACTCCCCCTTCTCGTCAATGTCACAATCAGCTGAGCGCCCCCTTCCGCGCGAAAGTTTATTGCTTGTTTCTCTAGCGGCACGCGCGCTGTTTCTTTAAGTTCTCAAAGATCACTAGAAGTTCGCACACTCGATATTTGCAACAATAGCACGGATTACTTCGCTACACTGTACTTGGGCTCCAACAATCGTTTCTATAATAAATGCGACAATAATTCACTATAATGGTTTTTACACACTGCCCTTCTTTTCAATGGTAACTTATGGAGTATTTAACACTGGTGTTCTCAGTACTTCCTTTCGTGGGCAATAACACAATAAATCACTGCACTCACAAATGGTTATTCAATGCACGAACATAGACATATATAATATAGATAAATCAGACATCAATAAATGGTAAATAAATAGTTACTGGGCACATCGCCTAACTTCCAAATACTGGCATAATATTATATATAATTTCTCACTATATGTTCACATTAAAGTCTCATGCAAGATATACAAAACACAGTAAATTCATCAATTATTCCGGGT